CCGCACCAGATGACACACAGCTGTGGAGTCCCATCTGAGGCCTGGAGACAGAAAACTCTTAATTATCCAAACCTTTTTCAACCAGATGCCCTCCATGTGTGCGGCTGGGATGATGGAATTGGTAGTCCAATTGATCTGGAAGCCCTTAGCTTGGGAAAGGCTGAGTGATTCTCTGAAAATGAGAGGAAAACAAGCCTCCTCGTTTTCAAAACAAAATAGTTGCAGGAATGGATTAACAGCAGCTCACGTGTTTGTGATAGATGTGATGTATATAAAATGTGCCAGATGCCTCTGCCATCCAAGAATCATTCCGTTTTAGGTTACTAATGGAAGGAGAAATCAAAAAACACCGGTGCAACAGCCAAACTTGGAATACATGGAAAGGGAAAAAAACAGTTCGCAGATGCTCTGTGGCCACCTCTTTGCAATTCCCACACTGTATGTCCGATTATTGAAGGTCTGGCAACATATTTGTTTCTGGAGGCAATTCATGTTCACTCCCATCTTTGGGTGGAATCGGAGCTACCTCCTGCCCCCCACGTTACCAAGTCAACACCTTCCTTGATCCCCTACAGTTTGATCCATGCCTGGGAGAGGCTGTTACATGAGAATCCCGTCAAGGGCTCGTCAGCTCTGGCCTTGCTCCCCAGCCTCCTCCTCTACAGGAGAGGCACCCAGCGTGGGGCTGAAGGGCCCCTGCCGAGCAGCATTCACAGGACGTCTGTGCAGTTCCCTGCTCTCCATAGAGCTCTGAAGCCCCGGGGTCAGGGGTGATGGGAGATGATCGATTTAGCTTTTTGAAAGACCCGTTCAACTCCACTGGGTCCCAACCTTTTGACAGCCGAAGCAAACGAGGGGAGGACATAGGCAGTCCCAAGAATGGGGGGCTTTGTGGCCCAAGAATTGATCAGGATGTGGGGAGCTGCTGGCGAGACAGTGCACAGCAGACTCCACTGATGGACAGCATTCTTCACCTTTGCAGCTACGACTCGTGGATTTTGGGTTGTCGTCTTGATGCATGAACCACTTTCTCTTGAGCTTCAGTTCATGGACAGATACCCTGACATTTTCCTGCACACAAATACTTGGGGGGGGTGTTACTGCATCACCCCCCTTCTTACTTGACCCCCACTATCAGGGAAAAAGGATTAAGTCAACAAAACACCTCAGAACTAAGTCAAGGTCAGTGACTTGTTACCAAATCTTTACTGGACACAAAGCAAGGGCCAACAGAATCAGGAGCTCAAATTAGTGACTGATGAAGATTCAATATTAACCAAGCTAATATCACTGAATTTGCATCAGGAAGGTACAGTGGTGTTTAAAAGTTGATGGGCCCTTTTGAATTCTCAGTAGTTCTGCGTAAATATGACCTTGAACATGATCTGTCTCTGCACAAGTCCTAAAACTAGATAAAGAGAACCAATTAAACAAACAAGAGACAAAAACATGATACTTGTACATTGATTTAATGAAAATGATCCAAAGCTATATATTTCTGTGTGGCAAAAGTATGTGAATCTTTGCTTTCAGTAACTGGTGTGCCCTCAGTGGGTAGCAATAACTGCAACCAAACGCTTCCGATAACTTGATCAGTCTTGCACGTGAGCTTGGAAGAATTTTAGCCTGTTCCTCCATACAGAACACCTTCAACTCAGGGATGCTGGTGGGCTTCCTCGCATGAACTGCCTGTTTCAGGTCCAGGACTTTGACTTGGCCATCCCAAACCATTAACGTTCTTCTGCCTTAACCATTCTTTGGTCATATGACTTGTGTATTTTGGGTCATTGTCTTGCTGCATGACCTACTTTCTCTTGAGCATCAGTTCACAGACAGATACCCTGACATTTTCCTGTAGAATTTGCTGGTACAATTCAGAATTCATAGTTCCATCAATGATGACAAGCCATCCTGGTCCAGAGGCAGCAAAGCAAGCCCAAACTATGATACTGCCACCACGTTTCACAGATGGGATAAGGTTCTTACGCTGGAATGCAGTGTTTGCTTTTTGCCAAACATAATGTGTTTCATTTAAGCCAAAAAATTCTATTTTGGTTTCATCCCTACATAGAATATTCTTCCAATGGCCTTCTGGCTTATCCATGTGGTCTTTTGTGAACTGTAGACAGGCATCAATGTTCTTTTTGGAGACCAGTGGCTTTCTCCTTGCAACCCTGCCATGCACACCTTTGTTTTCCTGATGGTGGTCTCATGAACACTGACATTCACCAACGCAAGAGAGGCCTTTAGTTCCTTAGACATTATCCTGGGCTTCTTTGAGACCTGCTGGAATATCACATGCCTTGCTCTTGGTGTGATCACTCCTGGGAAGGGTAACAGTGGTGTTGGATTGCCTCCATTGGTACTCGATCTGCCTGACAGTGGACTGGTAGAGTCCAAACTCTTTGGAAATAGTTTTGTAACCTTTTCCAGCCTGGTGAGCATCAACTGTTTTCCAAGGTCCTCAAAAATCTCCTTCGTTTGAGCCATGACACACTTCCACATACCTGTGTTGTGAAGATCAGACTTTGCTAGTGAATACCCATAATTGTTACTTAAATAAGGCAGGACCTCCCACTTTCACACCTGATTATCATCCCATTGCTTGAAGCACTTGATTTCAGTTTCCCCTTCAAATGAACTAATAATCCTATAGGTTCAACATACTTTTATTTATTTTATTTATTTATTTAATAGACTTGTCCCCGCCCATCTCCCCACAGTTTTGCCACAAAGAAATATGTAGCTTTGGATCCTTTTCCTCAATAACTAAATGAGCAAGTATAATGTTCTTGATTTATTTAATTGGGTTTTTATCAAGCTTGAGGACTTGTGTGGAGAACAGATCAGATTTTAGATCATATTTATGCAGAAATATTGACAATTCAAAAGGGTTCACAAATTGTAACTGAATTTGCCAATCAAACCTGATATAGACAAGTGGCAGG